AATTATTTTGAGAAAAATATAGATATAAATTAGAATTTATATATGCATCTATATTTCTATGCGAATCCATTTTCTTGATTATTTCTTTTTTCTTCATTAGATCGAAATTTATCAATTTATTATCATCAGCAATATATGTATATATGTTCATCTCGAAATTTTCATAAATTTTTCAAGATTTTTATAAAATGATAATCTTTTTGGATAAAAGCATAAAATAAATTTTTTTATCAGCTTTAAACTTTAAAATATTCAGTTTCACAACTTTAATTCATTAAGAAGAAATAAGATTCTGAATTAGATATTAAAAAAAAATAAAAGTAATCGAAAAATACCAAGTTGTGTTATTAATTTTAAAAATAGTTTGAACATCTTATACATGAACAAAATCAATATTGACAGTAAAAATACAAAGGAAAAAAAAAAATAAAATTATTATTAATAAAAATAACGTCATTCTTCTTCGTTTATCATATTTTACATTAATATACAGGGTGAATCAATTAATTTATCGCCTGAACTAACTTATAAACTATTTATTGTATAAAAAAAAAATGTTTCAAATAAAATTTTATTGATATTAAGAAGTGTACGATACAATAATTAGTTTATTTGACTTCTATAACGAGATATAAAGATCATTTTTTAATTGTAAATGTGTGATAATTTGATTGTATTGTAAGATTAAAATCTATTATAATTATCAAGATATTTTTTAGTAAATGATAGAACAAAGAACAAATATGGTCGACTTGATCTTTGAATTTCGCGCCATTTGACTATTTTCTAAGAAATAAAATTTTAACCACCTACGATACCTGAAAACACGAAAGATCGTATTGTAATGTAAAATATATGTTACGCTACAAATATGTATCAATTTCATTAATCATTTACGTATTTGTATCGACAATAAATGTATTATTTAAATTAAAAAATATCTTGATAATTATTATTTTTTAACACTATACTGTTCAAATTAATGTAAACAAAATATTATTTGAGAATTTTTATAAATTGTTGCATTGTAACAATTGTTGTGTCCAAATATAACCTATATTGGTGACGAAACTACTGATAATATTCAATAAAATTATTAATATAAAAAATATCAATTTAAATATAATCCTTGCAATTACGAATAATAAATGAAAAATGATAAAGAAAAATATGACGTGAGTTAATAAGATTTTCTTTTAAAAATAGAAAAGAAATGTAAATAGAATAAAATTAAAGAGAGGAAAAAAAAAAGAATTACTTTTTGTGATGATTTAGTTATTTTTTATAAAAAAAATTAATAGAACACATGCTAGAAAAACTAGTTTCTGCTTCAGCGAGTTAATGCGAGTGAATTTTTTAATTCTTTTATACAAATTAATTGAATCAAATAAAATAAAAAATTTGAAACATTTCTTTTTATACGAGAAATAGATTATAAGTTTCAAGTTGACAAAATTGATTCATTCTATTATAATATATGTAATATAACATCTTTCACAGATGAAATAAAATATCAAAGGGATCCTATTAAACAGAAAATAAAATTTTAAATTAATAAAAGAAGGAATGAATGAAAAGACGGCCAGAAAATTTTTTTGCATTTCCAGAATTAACAATTGAAATTTTTAATGAAATAAATTTGTAATTAATTTACAAACAATATTGTCAATAAATCATCAAAGATTTGAAAATTACACGAAAGAGAAATGCGTCCTTATATAACTGATATTCTATGTCAATATATAAACTGTTAATTTACAGATGAATGAAATAATGAAATATAATCTCGATTTTTCTATCTCAATTGAACAGCTGATATCAGAAGATAGTGGAGAAATAATTCGTTAACTTTCTCTTCTATGCATATAGAAAAACGTTGAAGAAAAATGACTTTACACTAAGAGTGATATCGTTAATAATTTATTAATTTATTAATTGGAATAATTTTAACAATTATTTAAAACAAAAAAAAATTATTAACACAAGAGAACTCGTTGTTAAAAAAATGAAATTGAATTTTTAAAATTTATACAATCAATCATCAGTTGATAACAAAATGTATACAACAACTTACGTTCTTGTTTGCTCTTCTTTGCAGTATGGAGATAGATACATTTCACTCTCCTCTTTATATCTTCTCTTTATATTTCGAACTTAAACTTTTGATCATTTAATAAACAAGTTAATTTAACCATTTTTTCTGCATACTAACTTAGGTTTTGTAGAATCGACCATTTGAAGATATTTCATGAATATATTAATCCTGTACATACTTAAAAAAAAAAAAAACAAATAAAAATAACAACATAGAAAATGAACAGAATATATTCTATGATTTATTAGAAATGTCTCTCAATGTGTTCAGAAGTTTCTTTGATTATCCTATTTCCAACATCATGTTAAAGGCTCATTGATTGTCTCTTTTGTTTATTTTAATTTTTTTCAATTCTGCATATTTATTAATAACTTTATTATAACACTTGCAGAAAACAACACATTACTGCATTTATTATTATTGCACGTAAAGAATGTTATCATCAGAACATATCTTCACTTTTTTGAAATTCTAGAATATTTGAAAACGTTATAACAACTATTAGTCTTTTATTCTTTAAGCTTAATCGATAATTGTCCTTTGGATATCCGATTTTCTTTTTGAACGTTCTTGCCAAGTTTATACAGGCTGTAGAGTAGCACAACTATGGTTTCTTCAACTATTCTTACATTATTTTTAAATCATTTTTAAAAAAATTTTTAATATATATATTAAATATAAATGATATGAAATTTGACAGAAAAACATATTTTGTTACATTTTTCTTTTCATTTTTTGAACAAAAAAAAAAAAAACAGTAGAATCAAATTTAAATAAATTTTGTAGTCAAAATCACGGATTGGATTGAGTTTAAATACTTATCATTGTTTGTTGTCCTGCAATTGGTGATCTTCTATGGATTGATAAAACAAATTTGTCAAAATTCCAATACCTTTAGATTCCTATCCAATCAACAATTTGAGATAAATCTCAAAATTATATCAGGGAGAGAAATACTATTTTTCTTCTAGAACAACGCTAGGAATAAATTGATCATTTACAATAACATCAAATGAGAAGTTTCTTAAATCTTCAACTAGATGGTTTTAGATGAATCCATATCGTTGAAATGCAAAATTATTGTGACATTGCAAATGAGTTTCATTAAATATTAAATTAGAAAAAAAAAAAATTAAAATTACATTTGATGTATTTTGAATATGCGAATCCATTTCAATAATTTTTCACAGAATAAAATTATTGGATTAAATGAATATATCATTTAACAGCGAGTATTTCTCGATGATTATTCAATTAAAGAAACAATGGAAAAACATATATAAGCCTGTTATTCTATTCCAATGACTAATGAAAAAAATTTTAAATTCCAAATGTGAATATTTGCAAATTTGCATGTTTATGACACTTAATAACAAAGCATTGGAAGCACCGGTGTACTTCAAACATTCAATGAAGAAATATTGATTTATACCTGTTGTGTGTTCTTTGAGCAGATTACAGTTGACGAGATAGCGAATACATTTCAATTACATTGATGATATGATTACTAGATCTTTATTGCTCAACTTAGCAATTTTTTTTTTTATATCACTGTTATATAAGATCCATTTAAAAATTTACATTTAAATTGTATTTTTCTCAATTATATTTTTATTTAATTAAATCAATAATAAATTCTATAAAAAAATAAAATAAAATAAAATAAAATAAAAAAACCAACTCGAAAACTTCAAATTGTACGAAAAATTGTTCTTATATACCCAATAACGGGAAACAAATCGAACAAAGTTTTGAAAATAATTAAACATCACAAAAAATTGTTTGAATATTTTAATCATTTATTATTTATTTAAAGACATTTATATAATTGTCTTTTAATTGTACTTCTGTTTATATATTTACATTAAATATTTCAAAATCATCACAGATCATCAATTATTGCAATAAAATCTTTATGCAAAATCATATTTATATAGGAAATGAATAAATCAATAAAGAATTTAGACAGAATTATATTCATCGTAAGAGTATTTAGAACAATGTATATTTTATTTTTTATTTATTATTTTTATATTTTTATTTTTAAATAATACACATATTTAATAAATTCAACTTGTGACAATCCAATCAATAATTATTTATAAAAATAATTGAAATTATTATAATTACATTTTTTCATAAGACAAACATTAAGTTAGATTAGATTTATATTTTGTTCTTCACATATATATACAAAAAAGTGATAATGCAACTTTCAAATAAAATATACTTATCATAAACGAGCTTTTATATGAATTGTAAAAATAAACATAAATTAAATTAATTATATTTTATTTAGATACGTTTATAGGATTAATATTCAAGGTTCATTTAATAATACGATCATAATTAAAGTTATTTTTGAATCAAGAATTTTTGAAATATTGATGAAAATTTTATGCTTTTAAAACTATTTCTTTACGCTTATTAGCCGAATAATAATACAATAAATTAGATTTTTTTTGAAAAATAATTAATCTTCACTGAAAGCGAATTGCAAACATAGATGAATATGAATAATAATTTTTCATTAATATCCAATCAATGATACTTTCATTAAAAGAAAACTCAAACAAACAAATTTCATAAGCCAGAAAATTAATCCAACCATCAATAGTTAATCTTAATTATCAGAGATTCAATTATAACTAACCTGAAATCAAGTTCAATCAAACGAGTCTCATGCAAATTAAAGCTTGTCCTTTACGCAAATAACAAGTTAGATAATCACTCATAAATCTATCTAAATATCTATATATGAATTCACACTTGTTTCTATTGCTAAAAAATTATAAATTATTTCTATCGATACTGCTCGACTATTAGATATGTCACGTGACTAGATTTCCATCGATGCTAAGCACATCGAGTCACGTGATATCTTTGCCTAGTATAACAGTAGTTGCGGAATGTGGCGTTGCGTATTTTTTTTGAAGTGAAAATTCATTATAGTGAAATAAATATATGAACAATTTTTAATGGTTAAGGAGGCAACGTATTGTCTTTGCATCCCAAAGAAATTAACAGAGACAGGTAAAATAACATTTCTGAATTATATCTTGCAAGTGACCGATATCTCTTTCATTTTTATGGCGCATGCGCATAGTGATTCTCATACTTGTTACAAATTATTACGTCTAGGATCAAATAACAAACGATTGACAGCCGTAACATTAGACATTTTTAACTGTTTCTCCTTATAATTGTGATAATATCATTATTATTAGTTAAGAAAAAAAAATAAATGAATAATAAAAAAAAAATACTTCGGAGTTAAAGGCGAATCAATATATTTTAAATTTATTTTCTCCTATTTGAAATCTATGACAATTTAAAAAGAATTTATACGGAGGAAGCTACATTTCTTCTTTATTTTCAAAAGCGCCAATACTGACACAATACAATAGAAGAAGTAAGTAATATTGAATATAAAAAAACAAATATATAAAAAAAAATAGAAATATATAAAAATAGAATAAGAAATAATGCAGCAATTGAAGAATCAAATAAACGAGATCACATCGAAAAATATAAAGTGTGAATTATCTTTAGAAAATAAGGAAAAACAATTCTTAATTGAAATTAATTTTTAATTGCTTATAATTGAAATTATACGAGTTTAATAATCTTGAATGAAGAATAACAAAATTTGGAGGTAATAATTATGAATTTAAATAATTGTAATTAAAATTAGTGAGTCTAATAATTTTGAACTTGAGATTATGAAAAATCGGTAGTAATAATTATAAATTCAAATAATTATAATTAAAGTAGTGAGTCTAATAACTTTGAAATGAAAAATAAGAAAAATAGAAGTTGCTAATTATATTTATTATTACAATTAAAATTAATGAGTCTAATAATTTTGAAATGAAGAGTAACAAAATCGGGGATAATAATTATGAATTTAAATTAAAATTAGCGAGTCTAATAATTTTGAAATGGAGATTAAGAAAAATAAAAGTTAATAGTTATAAATTTATTAATAATTATTTATTTATAATCATAATTAAAATTAGTGAGTCTAATAATTTTAAACTGAAGATTATGAAAAATAGCAGTAATAATTATAAATTCAAATAATTGTAATTAAATTAGTGAGTCTAATAACTGTGAAATGGAAAATAAAAAAATAGGGAATAATAATTATAAATAATTATAATTCTTAATAAATTTGCTAAAGTTTCTTAAAGGAATTACTATAGTAATGAAAATTTGATAATGCAATTCTAACAAATTTTAACAAATTCTAACAAATTCTGTGAAAAAAAAAATATTACATGGTCTAAGTAATGAAAAATTAAATAATCAAACAAGTTTATTCCAAAACATAAGTGAATCATCTTTTATTCCAAAAAACAAAAAGGTAATTACAAATAATTATGATATTGATTTCATGATAAATTTGTATCCTTTTCTTGGAAGAAAAAAATTATCATCAAATTTTATCTAACTAAATCTAACAAATGTTCAAAAAAAAAAAATAATTTTCTTCATTATTATTAATGATTATTCTATTTAATTCAGTTTTATTAGTCATAATTTTATCTATATTATTTTATGAATTAATTATAATTGTAATTATAATATTAATATTAATTATGTAATGCAATTACAATTTCTAATTTATTTATTGTATTTATTTATTTCTATATTATCAATATAGTATATTACAATTATTTATTATTTATTGTATTATATATAATGTCCTATGGAACTGGAATATCTTTTAAATTTAGAGATAGAAAAAAATGTTGTAAATTAAACGTTAAAAATTAAACATTATTTAATAAACTATAATCTGGATATAATTTTATGCATTGATTGTATTAGTCTAAAAAACTATAATTTTTTAGTAAGCAAATATCACGAGTTATTTATATTATAACAAATATTCAAATGATATCATTGCAATAATAACATTTCTTTCTTTCTCTTATTTAATACGCTAATCGATAATAATCAATTCACAAAAATTGTAATAAATCGCGATATTTGCACATACACTCAAATAAATTAACTTTTAGTTACAACATCTTCTGAACTAATAATTAATTAGGAAAAAGATAAACATTTTTTTATAGAAATTAAAAAAATTATACTCAGATTAAGCTTCATTTCAAACACCGTTTAATTTGTTTTTTCTATTTCTAATTATTTGGAAAATATATAAGATTCCAATTTCTTGTATAATAAAAATTGAAATTTTTTTATTTTCAATGTAACAATGAATTTCTTTTTCTTGCAGAAATACAGATTTGAAACGTATCTTATCACTTATTTGCTATCTTCTTTTAATTAAATTTTAAATGCATCATTTAAAAATAAAACTTTAAAAAATTAACTTTCTAAGAAATTAAATTGTCTTCTCTGATTAAATTATCTTTATCTTTCTCATCGATACATATTGAATACTAAATATTTTGTTATATGTTACAGTTCTTTTACAATTATTTATTATTTGATTCCTATGAATCAAACAGAGATACAGCCTCTCTGTACAAATCCATCCAACGGATAGAAGAATAAAATGAAAAGAAAGGAAAAATGGAAGAGAATGGATGACAAAAAGAGACAATTGAAAGAAGTAAACGAGGAAGTAAGAATAGTATAATGTCACAGGCTTATGTGGTTAATATAAGGTAATATAGAATGGTAAAAATACAAAAATAAATAGTGTTCTGGAAATGCTTGAAAAATACATTGAGCTAGAAAATTGGAATAAAAAATATAGTTTTTAAAAATATAATCTGTGACTTTCACGATATTTTTCAAGATCAAATCGAATACATATCCATGACATGTCTCTTTCAGTGCCATGCAATATATGTTTCAAATATTTTTTTCCATCATTTTTTCACAATTTTGAAAACGTTTAACATTTCCATGATACGTTTCATTTCAATATCATGTAATATATATGTTTTAAATATTTTTTTTTACATTATTCACAATATTGAAAACATTTAACATTCCATGATAAAAATATCTCTTTCAATATATGTTTCAAATTTTTTTTGCATCATTCACAAATTTTGAAAACATTTCATAAATAAAACACAGTATATAGATATAGAGAGAAGGAGAAAAGACAATGCACGCACATTTCCAATTATCTTTGGTTTGGCAATGATGAAAATAACATCATGTTCAAAAAATTCAAATAATTGATACAAGATAATTGTCATCATAGGATCGCAGAACATCAATTATTCAACGAGGTAGGTATTTTAAAAATTATTGATGATTCTTTTTTGATTACATTTTTATTATTATACGAAATTTGTAAAGTATATATATCTTAAAGATTGATGTTTCAATTATTCAAGAATTGATGAGGAATAGTTTTGTGATAAATGACAGAAAATGCAATGGTTATATGTTAATTTATTGAAAATTATTATACGTTACATGGAATAGATATTAAAAAGTGAATCTTATGTAAATATATATAATTATTTCATATGTTTATAATAAAAATCAAAAGTTAAACATTAAATATTAGATAAGAAATATTTTAAAATTGGAATTATTAATCAAATTGATTTTTTTTAAACTGATTTTTTGCTTCTGCAATTATTAAAAATGTTTTGCATAAAATGAACATTAACAAAATATCCAATTAAAATTATTTTATTCATCTATAATGTATATACGATATAAATATTTGTTTGTAATAAATTTATAATATATAAGAACGTATAACAATAAATATTTAAGGACATATATTTATAATTGATAATTGATAATGTTAGAAAAATAACATTTATTTCTTTGTGAATTCACAAGAACGAATTTCTTTCTTTTTTAAAAATTATTTTTTATTGTTTACTTAATATTATACAGATTTAATAAATTAATATCCATATGTTTAATATTTTATGTATTTTAAACCAGTAATATTATATATTTTGTTTTTATTTATTTATTTACTTTATTTTAAACTTTATTGTCTTATTTTTAATGAATTTGATCGAAAAATTTTTATTAAGAGTAATATTTGCAAGACTAAATAATATAAAAAATTGATATACAAAAATTTCGATTGAGATTTTATAAGCAATTTAAATTTAGATGCTAGATAAAATTTGCAGATTGACACGATGTAGATTAATCATTAGCATTTCAATTCTTGCTTCATTTAATAAAAACTTAAATTATTATTAATCATAATTTTAATATGTTTTCAAATACTATAATATCATACTATTTGAAATGTTAAAAACTTATTTCACGATGTACCATTGCATTGAACTACTATTAGGGTGACTGATGTCACATATAAGTCAAAAATATCTAAATATCTATTTTGATGATATAACGATAAGTAAATCGATGGAAAAGTAAAAATATTAAATCAATTTTTGCACTTATCTTAATCTCTAGAATCGGTTGTATCTCACGAATATATTAACATTGTTCCAAAAATGAAACGTGAAATATAAATGAAATGACAGTATTCCATAATTGTTAAAAACATCTCTCATTTTTTAGAATTTTTTTAATTATGAAATTCTTTGTACACTTTGTTCCTTTTCTTTTTTTGATGTTAAAGATCTAGCAAGTGATCCAGTACAAAAAATTTTATTTACAATCCTGTACATTTATTACTCACTTTTTCATTTTCTTTTTCATTTTCTTAAAAATTATTATTATTATTCGATACATTATAAATAAAATAATATTATTACTATAATAATATAATAATATTATAATAACATTATTATTGTAAGAATATGTCTTTCTTTTTTTGAGATTCCAGAATCAATAGATAATTCTTTTTGTTCAATCGATACCCTTCGGATATCTAATTTTCTTTCTGAACGTTTCTCCCAAGCTAACAGTACAATAATATAATTGTCATTTCCTTGATATTATTTTTAAATTGTTTCTTTTTAAATTTAAAGAAAAGTATATATATTTGTTGTTGAAAAAATGAAAGTTTTTAAACTTAGTGTTCAATCATCTTTCATAAAATTTTTTTAAAAATTTTGATGAAAATATTTAATATTTTAAATATTCTTTACATATTATTCTTAATAAAGACAATTGTTTTTAATTTATTTAATAATTATATATGAACATCCAATAGTTTTATTACTCCTATAGTAGTGTGATGAATAAATACATTTCACTCTATCTTTAAATTCCACATAACTTAACAAAGATTAATTCAATCATCATTTATGTATACTGACTGTTTCGTTTCTGTCTCTAGAATCATCCATCTGAAAATATCTCACTCTGAATATAGTACATTAATACTGTGTATATCATTCCAGAAATGAATGAAGTACAAGAAAATAGAATACAGAACAAATTGGCAGCAGAATTTTTAATATGTTTGGAAGTTTCTTTGATTACTTCTTGTGTGAGATTTTTCTTTTTTTTTTTCACCAATTTTTGTGTCTGTCTTATTTTTGACACCAATTTTAAAGATTTGATTCGTGGTCTGAATGATTCATGAACATCTTTAGTCAAAAAGTTTTATTTACAATTCTGTACATTTATTAATAACTTTATTATAACACTCTACGTTATGTTATATAAAATAACATGTAAATATAACTAATAATGTTATTATACTTCACGTAGTACAATATTATTACAAGAATATGTCTTTCCTTTTTGAGATTCTAGAATCAATAGTTCTTGTTTAAAATTATTGTAATATTTTTCAGATTAACAATTTAATTGTACTAATTGTATATATATCCTATTTTAATTTTGAATATTTTTGCCAAGCTAACATGTTATGAAATGCTATCATTTCTGTAAATTTTAATTCATCTTTTTTGAATAAAATTTTTAATTTTTCCTTTTTGGTACAAGTCAATTATCACATATGTACATCACATATGTAATTTTTATGAATAAAGTCTATATATTCGTGAGCAATAAAATTAACATTGCACAAATTGTTTTATTGTGAGACGAATTAATCGTTCATTATTTGCAATATTCTGCAACAAAATAAAAAATTACGAGTTCTATCGAGATGGTACGATAAAGTGAAAAATATTAACGCATTGGACATTTGAATTTCATCCCACCGAATGTTTCATCTACTGATTAACGATAATTTAATTTATTTTCAACGAAGGAAGAAATTTAAATTTATAACACTCGTTTTGCATTGTATTTGAATTTTATTTTACTGAACATTTCATCTACTGATCAATGGTAATTTGTTTTATTTTCAGAAAAAGAAAACATTGAAATTTGAAATGGATATTTAAATGTTTAAGTTTATCCCACTGAACGTTTCATCTACTGATTAACGATAATTTGTTCATCTTTTGAAAAAGAAAAAAAAAGATGGCATCAAATTTAAGAAATGGTAGGAAATGATTGATTTTTTTTAATTGTGGAAATTATGGGAAAAAACGAGATAAGATTTCTTGTTTAATATTTTTTAAGAATTTTATCAATTTTCTTTGTCAACCAAAATAAATTTTACAATTATGAGTATCTTCTCTTTTCAATACAATATTGTGAGTTGTTAAAAAAAAAAATTTCAATGTATTATTGTTGAAAGATATGGAAAGTAATAATAGATTTTTTGAAATAATAATATTTCAGAAAGTCATCTATTGTCAATAATACTGGAAGATATTTTTGGATGTTTGTTAAAATGTTTGTTAATATATTATCAATTACTTCTATAATAATGTATATATGTATATATATTTATAATATCTCTTATCATTTTATATTGCCTATTATTCAACTATTGATAATGGTAATTGATAATTTTCTGTATCAAATGATGTTAAAACAAAATGGCAAAAAATTCCAATACCTACTGATTTCTATCCAAATAACAAATGTAAAAATCAGACTTAAAAGCATTAAATATAGGCATCATGGTAATGTGAGAATCATGGTAATGTTATTGTTCTTTCTAAAATTAATACAAAAATGAGTGTTTTTTTTAAATTTATCATCTGTAACAGACAATGAAATGTTTGGGATATGAAAGAAATCTTAAAAGAAATTTAGAAATTGAATATTTTTAGTTTCTAAATCTTGACATTTATATTTATTCATAAGATTTTCTGGATTTAAATGTCTAACAGATTATTTTCTGCTGATATTCTGATAAAACAAAATTGTCAAAAAATTTCAATCCCTACCAATTTCTATCCAATTAATAGTTCAATAAAATTAACAGTAGAGGGCAATAGTTGTATCTTCCAGAATTCAATGTGACAGAGAAGTTTGGATCGCTAGAATTATATCGTATATAAAGATAAACGACATGCAAGATTATTTTGATTCTTACAAATCTTTAAATTTCATTGAAGAATGATGAAAAAAAAGATTCTTCGATTTTACACGATATCCAAAAATGTCTTAAATTCAACAAAGTTCAACCATTCTTCAATTAGAAAAATAATAAACGCGATATTATATGAATTAATCGTAAAATTTCGATAATATTGCGATAATGTAGTAGCAATTGAAGAAACAATGAAAGAACATAAATGTTTTCTGTGTTTAATGACTAATGAATAAAAATTAAAACTAACCAAAAAAAATTGTAACTTGCATGTTTATGACAAAATGAATTATAATGATAACAAAATAAATTACATCGTTAAAACATTCGAATATAAAGCATTGTCATAATTTTATGTTCGAGCATATTGATGAAAAATAAAAATAATACAGTTTTGAATGTGATCATTGGATAATGCAAATCTTGTTAATTCTTAATTTAGCAATTTAAACCTTTTTTATGACATTGTTATTTACATAAAGTCTATTATCATCTCATCAATAGTGTTCGAGAAATTAAGTTAAAGGAGAGAATATTTA